GTTGGGCTCCAACTTTTCACGATAGTCACTCTAACGGGTAACTTTAATCAATCTGACGGACGCAATACGCTTCGATAACAATGTCGGCCTTCGCCAATTACGTGTTGATTTTTTTTTCGTTTTTTCGCTGACGATGGCATCCAAAAGTGAATTCATTTTTCCATATATGAAGAAGCCTTGCATACTGAATGCAAGGATTCTTCATATATGGGAAAATGAATTCGCTTTTGGATGCCATTGTCTGCGAAAAAACGAAAAAAAAAAACCGAGCCCTCGTATTGTCGTTTTGTAGTGTAAAATCTCGCGTAAAATCGACGTATCGAGATTTTAAAGATTATCGCGAAGTATCGCGGATGTCAGCTGTTTTGGATAGTAATAAATCAATAATTATTTGATAATTTTGTGACAATATAAATCGAGAATTTAAAAACAGATTTTAGAAAAAATTTTTAAAAAACTGTATTTAGGATTTATTGTCACGTTACATTGATTAAATAAATTATAATAAAAACTATATAGTCACATTGCTTCGTTATTACGATCATATCGCTTCTCAAATATTAAAAATGAGTAAATATTTATTAATCAAACAAATTTATCATTGATTATGATTATGCGCTGACTTTATAAATATTTGTTTTCAATTGATAATCCGTAAATCTAATTATAAATAGATCTTATTTTATGATATTACGTATGTAAATGTTATGTGCAATTAGTGCCATTTATAAATTAGATGATCCGAATGGCGGATGTACGTTAAAATGAACGCGAATCAATTGTTACTAATTTGCATACTGATCGGAAATACGGCGTATACTTTCAAGATTTCTCGATTACGAACAGTGTGCAAAATTGAGAACGTGCCATTGCATGGATTGCATACGAATCTCGTACAGCCATTGCAAAAATGATTGGAGTGGTACGCGCAGAATTAATTGCACGCCACACCAAGATAATCAACGTAGGCATCTTGCCCTTTGAATTCTAATTGTTCCACCAAAATGTAGTAATTAAATTCATCTGGCGGAAAATTGACATAAACGAAGTCGGGAAGGCGAAGCGAAAACTGGAGTGCGAGAGGAGCATATTAGCCATAGTAATTAATTCTAAACTCGAGCGATTTGGCCAAGAACATGTCTACTATGGCTGGAAATCAAAAAACAAAAGTGGTGTAAAATGTATTAAAAAAGTGCAACGTAACTCAATTTAATAACTTTTCATATCGTGACAAAAATAAAATACATTCTCTAATATGGTTCTATAACCATACCATTCTATAACCATTTTTCTATAAAAAGACCCAATATTTATTATACAAATCAATAAAATATTTTCTTAAGATTAAAAAATTAAAGTAATTCTTATAATGATAAATATTTTAGAAACAATTAGTAATTTTTTTAACTAAACAGGAGAAAATAAATCTAAAATATTAAAACTCTATTTCAAGTTTAAGTTTAAAGAAATCATAAAAAGATTTACTCTTTGTATAGCTAAAATAATTAACATATATTTCGTGATATTTTTTCTTTTCTATGAAATTTTTCTTTTTTAAAATAGCGTTTAATTTTCATTGACAAGCGGATCTTCTGGATTTGTCGAATCCTTTTTATCCCTCAGTCTTTAGACTCGTGAATATTTACTTCTTATATACATTCTTAGGTAATGGAATCCCTAAATCCTTAGGTATTTGGATATTTAGATCCTATTTAGAATCTTCTTCTAGGCTAAATTTTTCTTCATGGAAAACTCATGGAAACCCTAAATTCTTTTAAAAATAAAACTCTGTTAGTAGGATTCATCTCTCTGAGCTGCGCAAAATGTTATTTTATATTCTTGTCTATTTGAATGCCGTTAAAGTAGATTATCTCTATTTTAATATATATGTATAAGTGTAATTATAATTATTATAATTTATTTATAAAATTTTAAAGTGATTTTATTATTATCATTAGGGTGTTATCAAGCGAGATCAATATTACTGTATTGTTAAACATATTGTGTATTACGCATCCATACGTTATATGTTTAAGTTTAAACAAATAATTAATAATTACTATTTGATTACTAGCAATTATTGATGCGAAACACTAGTTGACGATGAGAAAACTTGACGACAAACCCTTAATTTAACTCAATTGGCCGAGGATTAAAATCGATTAGATCGTTGTAATCTTCCTTTGAGAGTTCAATGATATATATAATATCGGTTGACACGTGTCGAAAAGTAAGTCATTATAATATTTTTACATAAGAAATAATAATTATATCTAAATTTATCTAACAGAGCATTCGATGGGATTTGAAACATAAAAAAATTATCTGCTGCTTACACTAGACAAATTTGATAAACCGTAATAATAACAACATAACATCACTCGAATTACATATATAAAGAATAAAATAAGATAAATATAAATATAAATAATTTATAGTAGATACTATAAAAAATAAGGTACAGCGATATTAAATCTTATAATGTAAAAATAAATAGATGAATGTATATCGTGTTTTCAAGTCTAATTTTACAGGTACGAAGAACATCGTGTATAAATGATTGCCCCCCATTCGCTTTCAAGCAATTTCAGTTGTATGCAAAATTACTCTGTAGAAAAGTTTTAAAACTACTTAAAAATGATGAAGAGGTAGAAGTTAGAGAACTATTGGATAATCATATCTCGCGGTTCATTGGAATAAAATTCAGGTTCTAGCAGAAAAAGTGGGTAACTTTTTATTTGCATTATTCGTGTTATTAACACATAAGCAAATATTGAATCAAATTGGATCAAATGATTAAATTATGATCATTAATTTTAATAAAATAAATAAATTTTAAATAACACTATGATAACAATAAATATACAAACGGATATAAAACATATGATAATTTTAATAGATTTTAATAGATTTAATTTTTATATTTAAAAATTTTTAAATCAAAATTTTTAATAATTTGCTTTAAAATATTCTGTATCAAAATATTCAAAATATTCAAAATATTCAAAATATTCAAAATATTCAAAATATTCAAAATATTCTGTAGTTAATCTTCAAATATAGGAACATATAAAGAGTACTTCGAATTTAATTAATATACATAATGTAATGACCTTTTCATATATTTTTAATTAATATTACCTCCTTATTTCGCGGCATTGCTTTTATTTATAATCTCGACGATAATGGCGGTAATGTGCGATGTAATATTCAGTAGAATTATAACAGTCGTAGATGTAAACGATAATTGTACTTAATACTGCGAAATTAAACTGAAATATATGTCTGTCTTAAACGCTTCCTGTTCTAGTCTCGGAATTGCATATCTTAGTTCTCTCCGCAAAATCTACAAATGACATTGGAAATTTTAGGATCAGATAATTCTATAATTCCTCCATTAGATAAGTACAAAAGTACTGAAATAAGTACAAAAGTTATATAATTTTCATAACAATCATCAGAAATTTTAAATTTTCATATAAAAATATTTTTACCCTTTTAATGTAAAAACTTTTTACCTAAGTTATAGCTTACTTTAAATTTTGCTATGAATGATACCGACATGTAACTCGACGAAAATAAAATTCCGAGCTTTTACAAATAGTAAATCGACTCTTGTATAATAATATATCCATTAATATTAAAATATTCAATCAGCTGAGCTTCAACATGGAATAAATAAAACGTAATTAACAATCGCGTATATGTGAGATTGTCATTATTTTTTATTACCTGATTAATTTAATTTAATGGATTTTAATGTTATTCTATTTCAATATTTGCGAGTAATATGAATATCTCTGTTTCAAGTGACAACGTATCTCGGATTGCAATGGAACAAAAAATGACAATATTTGCTACGTTCGTATTTTATCTTGAAATGTGACACAGATAAAGTTGAAAGAAGCCATCCTACATTCATTTTTATTTTATCAACTATAACTATCGATGACAAAGAGTATAATAAAAAAAATTCACATTCGTAGAATTTCACATGTAAATATTCGTTAAATCTTCTGTAAATTTGATAAGTCTAATATATTTTAACAGAAATAATATAAGATATAAAAAAGATCCACGAAAAGAATCACGAAATTATGTTACACAATGTTGAAATTGCGATCGAGTAATCTGATAATTTTGTATAAAATTATAGTTACGTTATTATCGTACTTTTGACAGATGGATACACATATAATAATATTTTTTAACTTTATCGTCAAATGCATATCAAGAGAAAAAACAGAGAACCATCTTTGTGGAACAATAAATAAATAAATGGTATCTCTTTATTATCTATATTTTGTATCTTTAGCGCTTCTCATTTTATATACAATATATTTTACAGATTACCTTGCTAAACATATGAGAAATAGGACCCAAGTAAAACCAACATTCTTTCATCTGAAACTTGTATTGTAGTAAAGATCGAAGAATCTTTCTTATTTGCGAATGTTAAATGCTAGATTGAAAAGCCTATTTTTTTTCATTTGGCGTCATAATTCAATGTGTAACGAGACAACGGGAGTCTTAATGCTAGTTAAACGTTATATGCTTTTGCTTAGAAATAATGCACAGTAAAATATAAAATAGGAACTCTATTTTCGACTGTAATATCGAAAAAAATGAGAATATGTGATGCGATAAATTCTCGTACAAAGAGGAAAAAACACAAGCTGAACAAATAGCATATTACACTTTAAAGAGAGATTTCTCGGACTAAAGGACAGATTAAAGGTCTCATTAATTTTTTTACAAGGTAAACATGCTTTAACGGCTTAATTAATATAAATATCGAATAATATACTACGAGATACAAATATTATGAAGGAAAAAGAAGATTGGACTGAATTCACGATAATAATTCATACAATAAAATATAAATGAAGAGAATAAAATAAAGCGGATAATTAATTTAATATTAATTATTCATATGTTATATTAGTTATACGTTACACGTTATAAGTTTAATTACAAGTTGTTAAAAAAATTCGACTCACCTTGTCGTATCCTGGCCGACAAAATCGATGTCCGTACTTGCCATTACGGCATTTTGTTTCGCGGTCTCCCCCGGCGATCTCCCGTATTCGCTTCGGACAATGTACATTAGGATGTTCATGACGAGGAATTTCGAGATCGCGGGTACAGAGGAGAAATGCGGCGCGACATGACAGCACCCTGGCACCCCGTTCGTTTTTGCACGTTTTGCACCACCGTCCGCGCTAATTCGTCGCCGATGCGACTCGTCGCGGCGACGTGCAGAATAATGATGAACGAAGTCGCCTTAATGAATTTCTTCCACCGACAAATAGCACGGCGGGTGAAATAACGCGAGCACAAGCCACTCGCCAAGATTAAAATCTTCTCGTTTTTCTTCAACTGTCTTATTAGCGCGTCGGGACCCGAGTCGTTGTCGAGTGCATAGATCGTCGGCGGGTATCGCGTTAACGTGCACTAACGATCGATTGTCCGCCGCATGTAAATTTATTATCCCGCAATCACGCCAGTGTCGTTATCGTATTCGTTGCCAGATCACCGTTAAAAAGTTTGCGTCAACCGCGTTGACTTATTTTTTACAGAATCCTCTTCGATTTTCTTACTTAATCGCACTACACGTAATCGCACGTGCAAGAAACGTCACAGTTTTCCAGTGTCGGCGAAGACATACGGGAATGATTAGGTAATTCAAAATTACGTCGTACGTCCATTATTACATTCTGTCGTTCTTCGGACGTGATTATTTTCTCGGACGTAAGGATTACTTAAGCGGTTCTTTTGCGCACTTTACATCCGATGCGGGTGGCCTTGCAATCACCGGAAATTCGTAGTGAATAATTTTCTTGCAGCACAAAACGATCCAGAACGACAGATTTTAAATGATTTGTTTTCCGTCAAATTTATACAGATGGTTTAGAAATTTAATGATGTGATACCTGTTACAACATTTATATAACTCTCTTGAAAATATTGATATATATCTTTTTTTCTATGCCACTTTCTGCCATTTTCTTACATTCAAACTTCCACATGATCAAAGAATATCTTGTCTAAAATTTTTATATTGCTTGTGAATTATTAAATGTTATTACAAACTGTCAAAAATTTTTTTATTAATTTCTGGTGTCGTGAAAAAGATTTTTCGCAACATTTTAGTCAGTTTAGAATATTGATTTGCAAATATCCGGATAATTATGCACAAAATGAAAGTTCCGTAATCTCTGTAAATCTTTATTACATATCTTTTTATCAAAGATAAAAAAATGACTGTATCGTTTATATATCAATATATTGTTTATATATACAATTAAAATTTCTATGCGATTAGATAAGTGTTGTCAATTAAAATATGATTTTTCCTGTCGAGGATTACATCGATGTAAATCAATGATTGCATGATTATTAAATTACTCACGTGCGTATCAATTAAAATACGTGACAAGATAAGTGTAATGATTATCGGTTATAAATAATTGTAAAATATATATCGATAAATGCTACGAATATATATTTATATATGTTGATATATTAATTTTATCTTTGAGGCATTATTATAAAAAAGTGACATGTAATTGTAAAGTTATAATAATCTTAAGAAATAGCAAAGAAATAGAGAAATGTGTTTTCGAAAGAGTTAATAAATGATTTATTAAATAAATATCAAAAAACTGCATTTGTCGGTCAAAAATTATACAATCAAATAAAATGATTGATGAATCAATTTTAAAACAAAATTTTTAGATTTGCAAATAGTATATGCAAATAGTATATTGCAAATTGATATAATTTCGTCATCGATAAATTAGCGATCAAACATGACACTTAATGACGAATACATTTCTTGTGACGTATTAAATCGAACAAGTTTAGCGATTTTAAGGAAGATTACGGTCGTCAGTTGTATTCATGCTTGAAAAATAAAAATTCAGATTCCGACTATATATAACTTGATGAATGACGAATTTATACCTCCGTTGCACGGCAAGTTGGAATAAGTTTTTTCATTGCTCTCAGAGATAATTTACACAACAGCGTTTGAGCGTTACGCTCATCGATCGAAACGTCAAATGTGAAGCTGAATCGAATGAGGGATCGCAGTTTCGAAATATTCACCACGTTTCTCTCGGGGCAATGATGCGTCGCTTTGTTTTATTTGCGTGCGAGGTAGCGTCGCGATGCGAAGACTTTCGCTGTTTCGCGCGGCACTGAGGAAAGCCGCCGGCGGCTCATTCATCGTCGGCACCCCGTAAACGCGGCACGCCAACGCGGCGTCGCGCAGGCGTTGCACCCTCATAGTTGCATCCCCGTCGTTTCACCCTTCGGTCCCCCGGGGACGCGTCGCGACGCGTCACCAGAAGAGGATCCCATCGCGAAAGAAATCGAGAGCTCTCTCTTTCCCCCCGCGTTTTCTACGCGGGCGACTACGCGAAACGACGCGATCGAGGTGGCAAGCCGCGCGATGATTTATCGTCATGGCCATTCTTGTGGGAAAAAGGCGAGAGGCAGAACGGTATTCGGACGCGATTTATGGAATCCGAGCGGGCAGCATTTCTCCGCCGTGACAATAACTTCCCATGCAAACTGTTGTATGTTTTGTTTCGCGCGAATGTAGAGGATTGAAGTGGAGTAATAAGAACGATGGGAGTAGTCGAGTTCAAGAATCCTCTTGGCGAACGGAAACTCGAAATGGAGATAAAAACCGATGTGATATCGGTGTACTCGATTTGTACATGCGAGAAGATGCGCTGGTATTGGTTATCACGTCACCGTTGATAAGAATAAAAATTCAGAATAAGTAATCTTCTTGAAAACAGACAGTTATATGCCGCTTCTTTTGTTTTTCTTTTTGAAAATAAATTTCCAAACTACGAGTTGTAGTTTGCTTCTAATTGACTCTACTAAGGATTACTCATATATATATATATATATATACGTTTCTGTTTATCTCCAAGTTGCTCAGATAAAATTCGGAACTATCACGAGATATCACGTAGATAACACAGTTGTAAACAGATTAAATGTATTCGCTGGCATGGCTATTACATAATGAATAATCAAAATGCGGTAATTTTGCCGCGCGTAGCGAAGTCTAGCGTGAGTTTCGCTTAATATAACGGGTGTCCCCTCCCGGTAGCAACGTGCTGCCATCCGCAGTTGAAGGCGGGAGGAGAAAGAGAGCTGTTGTTCTCTCGACGAGCTCATGATATCGCAAGTTTTCATAACTGGCTATTATATTTCGTTTCGACATGGCAACCTTACATTCCGTAACGCGCGCTTAAGCTGATTTCACATCGGTCATATCAATTGTGCATCGCAGTGTATCTTCCCCTTTCACACGAACCAGATAGAAATATCAAATCGCGAGTTATTATTTTTCACTCAAAAAGTGAAAATGATCGCTGAAAAGTAGTGTGTTCACGTGGCGCCTATTTATAATCCACTCTTATTTTAAATGCCGACGATCGACTTGACTTAAGATCTGACACGTGATTTTCCTCCTATTTCAATAAACATAATTGAAAACCAAGTGTTCGTCTTGGAGATCTCTGTGGACAGCAACATCTCGTGACTTCGCTGTGAAACGAACTTTAGGATATGATAAACTGCGGCGATTTTTTTTGTGCATCCGGTCGTGATTATATCTGACAATGAATTTTAATCTAATAAGAGATGATGTCCGGTGATAATGTGATACGAATCGTTTACATAATGTCAGTCTGATAATATAACATGATGATGATACACCGTTACTTTGAGACTCAGTCTGATTCAGCACAATCAGTCGGCATGAAACATCTGTCAATGAAGTCACATATTCAATGTTGAGTGTGCGTTGTGTGTGTTCAATAGCGGAAGAACCGGTTTTAGTCAACATTGTTCCATTAAATCAGCGAGTTTGTATTTTTCTTTTAGCTCTAGCTCAATATAGCTTAATATATACAATATAGAGAAAAAAGATTCTCTATTAATCATTTTGATATCTTCATCACATTTTGTGGTACGTGAAATATATATAAAAAACTTGTTAAATAAAGATAGTAAAACAACAACAATCCAGAATTGAATTAAAATTAAAATTTACAATTGCTTAAAATATTTTTTATTTATTTATATCAGATCCATATTAAAATTTTACACATCAAATTGATTAAATCTTAATCTTTTTCATTTTTTTATTTCTTTCAATTCCATATTTTGTAATTCATGTATCAATTTTGTAATTCATACATTGTATAATTATTTTACTTTTTACTATAACAGATTAATATGTTAAATATTTATTAATATAAAATTATAATATTCTTATGTCGTTTTTATGATTAATTTTGAAAATTATTTAAAAGTCATTTTTTTAAAAAATGCACGGATAATTTTTTTTCAACAAAGTGCTCTATTATGTGACATTAGGTTTGCAAGAATTAATTGCTGTTAATGCTCGATGTCGAACCAGTCTACCGGAAATTTGCTTATCATTCATTTTTATGACAAACTTGCGTGCGGAATAGTCACAAGAACACGTGTAATTTTTCTACATAACCAAAAGTGAATAGATTATTGGACGAAAGCAGAACGATTTTCGAATATAAAAGTGAGTAAAAGTGTCGAATGAGATCGCAAGCAGATCGGCTTATTTTCTCCTTTCCTTTGCTTGCATTTTTTCTCGTCAAAAGTGGATTACTTTGCACGCGCAGATTTCAAAAGTATTTCGCCAGTGAGATATGAGATTCGTGTCATTCTTGCTAATTTTGTGATATCAAGATCTCAATCGAAGAACAGATGAGTAAGTCAGTATTTTGTAACTAGATAACATGAGTGAAAATTGAAGCCATGGAATGCTGAATAATATCCACTGAAAAAATAACAAATTTTTTTCTCTCTCTTTCTCTACATACTGTTTTCAAATTCAACTATTTGTAAAAATTGATCGATTAGCAATTAATAAATGAATAATAAATTTAAATTAAGTTAAGTTAATTTTTGCGGGGAAATTAGTTAAATAAACTAAAATAAGAAATAATTAACTTTTAACAAAATTTAATATCTGTAAGAGACTAATGTGTTTTTTTTGACAAATTAATTTTTTTAAGAATCTCTTTTGACAAATCTGCACGATATCTTGAAAAGTCACGCGTCCGAGTCGCCTAGTCTTTCTCAAACGTTACGAATAATTGCGGTAGTCGTTTCAATTTCGCGAAAAAATAAATCTGCTTTTAGTGGCCAAGTGGTATGAGAAAGATAAGTGCGGCAAGTATGCAGTGCGGAGATTGCCGATTCTTGACTGGCTGCCACGATACAAACCCACGTGGCTCTTGCACGATGCATTGGCCGGTATTACGGTCGGTCTCACTGCTGTGCCTCAAGGCATCGCTTACGGTATCGTCGCTGGTTTAAGTCCTGAGGTAAAGGTCACGAAAAAGAGAGCAACTGCCGCATAAATCTTGCATCACGTCATCCCGTAGCACATTGATAGACGTATCTCAATTATAAGTCATAGAGATAAAACGGAATTTCTGAGAGCCAATCTGCTTGTGTAAATAAATCGAGAAGTATATGAAATTAGTTATTTTCAGTTTAACTCGAGTTTAACTATTGAACATTTTGCTATTTAATCTAAGTCAATTCCTTTTAAAAGTTATTATTTAAAAGATATTCGATATAAATGTTTTTAAAGATTGTGAATATTTATTGATATAGAAAATAAAATATCTTTTTTTTTAATATTTATCATTTTTGTAAAGTATTTAGTAAATGTTTGATAAATTGTATTGACATTTAATAAATAATATTGATGCTTAATAAATACTATTGGCATTTACATAATTGTTGATATATACATAATTTTTTTAATTCAGTCATATCTTCTTTAGATTGTTGTAGTTAATTTCTTTGCAATATGTTACGATCTTGTAGTATGGACTGTACGCAGCATTTATGGCGTCATTCATATATATCATTTTTGGTTCATGTGAAAACATCACTATTGGTCCAACAGCCATTATGGCCACTATGGTTCAACCCTTGGTCGCAAAATATGGTGCTGACATGGCTATATTAATTGCCTTTTTGAAAGGATGTATCATCGCTGTTTTAGGAATTTTTCATTTAGGTATGTTTTTTTAATACACTCAAAAATAAGAGATACGTATCACAGATACATCACAGTTTACGAATAATAATAATGGCGAAATATTATTGCTGCGTGATGTATCTTTTTTGAACGATATTTATTCATTTAAAGGTTTTTTACTGGACTTTATATCGCTTCCGGTAATTACTGGTTTTACGTCAGCTGCTGCAATCAATATAGCATCTTCCCAGTTTAAGTCACTTCTAGGCATTCCTGGCAGAACTGAAAGTTTTCTGGATTCTTTAATAGCAATCTTTAAGAATCTCAACCAGATAAAATATCAAGACACGTTGTTGGGAATTGGTACAATTGCTGTGTTAGTTTTGCTTAAGGTATAAATTTTCAAAAGTACAAGTCTTCATACATAGCAGTACAAGTCTTCATACATAGCAGTAAAAATTTAATTCCTGTTTTGATAATTCTATATAATAATGGAGGACCTTATTTGTATTTTTTCTACTCGCAGAATATACCAGGAAAACGTACGGGAACAATCTTTCAAAAGATAGGGTGGCTTCTCGCTCTGTCTCGCAATGCATTGGTCGTAGTCATAGGAACTGTTATGGCATACATTTTTTATATTAACGGGCAGAATCCATTCAAATTAACGGGTAGGTAGATGAATTTTTGTTTAATATCAAAGTCTTTAATTACGATTTAATATCAAGACACATGTTAAGAATTGGTATAATCGCCGTGTTAGTTTTACTCAAGATATATGAATTTGATGTAAATTCAACTTGGATAATTGAACGAAGTAGTCAATTATCGAATATTTTTATTTTCGATTATCTTGTTTTTGACGCTTTTCTTTATATTCTAAATTCATAGAATTAACTCTAGAAGATTTATTGTATTTTGTCGATATACTCTGGAAAATAAATTTGCTATAATAAATCTTGCCACCGATTAATCATCGAATTTGACGCGTACGATATTTCCTCTCGTACCAGCATTGAAATCAACTTTAAAAACACGCTTATTAGGATAAATATTTTTTAATTAATATTGTTTGAGATTAATTTACTAACTTTTAAATTATGTTTAACATAATCAAAATATATTCATTTCTTGAAACAAGGCTCATCCATGTTATACGATAATTACGATAAAGAATAATTCTTTTTTTATATTAGAGTCGCAAGAAAATAAGAGTTTGCTCTCGTCCCGTGATAGTGCATTGTTAAAAAAAAAAGATTTTTGTTTCTCTTATGAGCAGATATGATTGAAATGTATGTATTTCACTCACTGTTGCGTGAAACGCGACTAATAGACAAAACATTTCAGACACGATGGGTCAGGGTTTGCCACCATTCGCGCTTCCACCATTTTCCACAATCTTTAAAAATGAAACGTACAATTTTGTGGAAATGACTACGGCAATGGGAACGACATTGGTCACGATACCGATCGTATCGATCATCGAACACATAGCCATCGCGAAAGCCTTCGGTAAATTAAATTTTATCATTAGATTACTGCTTTCACACAATTTCAGAGAGTAAAAGCTTTATAGCGAAAAAAGAATTTTTGTACGAAATGTATGATATACATAGTGATGTTTCAGCATCGTGCTTTTACTCTAAAAAAAAAACGCAAGATTTTACTGCTAGCTTTTAGCGATGTAAAAACGTTCGTTAATTGTTGTTTGTACTTAATTCAAATCAGCTAAATAAACTAATACGAGATGTCGTCTACATTAAAACTTGTAAAGTTTATTCGTGTCTGTTCGCGCTCATATGCTTAAATTCGGATTATACATTTGAAAGCTATAAAAGTCCAGTCTACTTGGTTAGTGAAAGTAATAAGATAATTATTTTAGCAAAGGGTAAATCTTTGGACGCCACGCAGGAGATGATCGCTCTAGGAGTCTGTAATATTTTCGGATCCTTCGTTCGTTCGATGCCAGTTACGGGATCATTCACGCGAACGGCTGTCAATCATGCATCAGGCGTTAAAACTCCATTAGGAGGAATATTTACAGGTAGATGAGACAATGAATAAAAAGTTCTATCACTTAAAAGTCCAACGTGATTTATGTGCTAATCGATTTGTCGATAAACGGGTATCTCAGAATGCAATTAAAACCTAAAAATATACTACATAATATCTAATAAAATAATAGAATTTTTTAATGGAAATTAATGTTCTCTGATTATTCACATATCAAATTATCGCGAAGTTACATTAAATAAAGACTCGAGCACGTTCGATTGGTCTTTCGGGG